CATAAACGAGCAGTAATGAAGCATGAAGATGTTTCCACTGAAGTGCATCAGGGAACGGTCTTCAGCTTTTACCCCAGTTTTATTTTTCAAATGAAAAAGAAATGCCTGCACATTAGCGTGTTTTTTTTTTTTATCCCTCCAAAATTTTTTTTTTCTAAAAACTTGTTTTTCCCGTTTCTTCTTAAATTAACAGCGATCACGTCCTCTGCAGCTTCAAACTGAATGATACACACAGTGTGGGTAAGTTCTGCAAATCGCACATGAAATCCTCCAGTCAGGACACAGAGTACATCCAAACTAGAATCAACGTTTTCGGAGAGCATTACGTTCTGATTGATTAACTGTGCCTGTCATTAGAACTAAATCTTCATGCCTTTATTCACACACTTAAATGGGAGTTTTGGGACTGTGGTTTGACTCATTGAACTTAAGAAGATTCTGGAAAGTGCCTTTATGCAACAGTTCAACTCTAAGATCGGATTTGTTTTCCCCGTAGATGAGAGACCCGCGGGAATACAGGACACCTTCCTCCTGTGTCCTGCTCCTGTTGTAGAGGAGGTCGGAAGGTAAGCTGGACACACTCTGTATCAGACACACACCACTTCTCTGATTTGGCCCCTGACGTTGGCGGCTCCTCCAGTGATGCACCAGATACCCAGCAGCTGTACCAGATACACACCAGATGTACACAAGTTTGGTGCAGACACAGAAGAAGACTGCTGACCTTGAACAAATTAGGGCCAAAGTCGTGGAGAGTGTGTGATCAATCAGTGTGTGTCACTGCTAACGAAGCCAGACGCCAATCACGGGGCGACAACACAAGTAGAGCCCAGGAACACGACTAATGAGTGCCTGCTGGAGAGGCCGCTCTCACGGCCGTCACGAGGTCCGTTCCCCGTCTCTGTCTGGCATTCTGGGAAGGAGACTGTGTCGAGTCTTAGGTTTCCCAGAGGAGTTTTAGCACAGACACTTACTGCCTGGCTGACAAACTGGTGCTGGTGGGCCGAGCTCCAGGAGGGCCGGAGCCCAGCAGCCTCCGTGTCACTGCAGTCTCATCCATAATTATGTGTTTAGGCTCCTGGCCTCGGACACCTGCCATTTAACAGCTGCCTTGTTGCTGACATTCTTTCAGCTGGTCTTTTTAAACTGCTGATTTAGTCAGAGAAAAATGCAAGAGCTGGTCGAGAATATGTTTAGTTAGCGACCGTTAGCTAGCCTAACCTATAAACAGTGGCGTCAAACTCTAATTCACAGTGGACCAAAATTAAAAACTGGGATGAAATTGCGGGCAAAACTTGAAACATTTACAGCAATTGTTCATGTTTTCCCTTCAGATCTGTAATGTAACAAACAAAACAAACAAACTTTAGTTTTGCGTAAGAATCTGGAACAACTGAAGCTTAATATTATAAACACGTGAGAAATTAAAACTGCTAAATACGGGCTATGTTCTGGCAGGCCAACTCTAGTCAACATTTGATATGTGAATAAAAAATATAATTACACTGCTGGCCAGATTTGGCCCCCGGGCCTGAGTTTGACACATGTGCTATAAAAGAACAGAACATGTTGATAATTCTTACATCCAAAAAGATCATTAAAACTAATGTAAGGACACGATTCATCAAGTAGTCAGTCTTCGGCGTGCCTCCTTGGTCGGGCCGCTCCTCAGGAGCATCATTAGACTCTGAGACGGCGCCCGCAGGAGAGTTCCTTCCACAAAACACAAACCCATTAGCGCCGAATCAGCAATGCCTGAAACTCAGAGTGCTACTAAAGAGGAAGTCAGCTGTGAACGGCTAACAGGCTCCGAGTGAAGGCCAACAGCTGGCTAATGATTCCTCAGCTGTGGAGCAATGTCATTCCACACTCAGGACAGCTGTGTGCTGCTGTGGCCCAGTGTTTTTACTCCCAGGCTTCAGGGAATCTCATTTATTTATTTATTTATTTATTTTAATAACCCGGGTTTTTGCGGTTTATAATTTGATTTTGGGTTTTTTTTAGGTTATTTTTTCAAAATACACTGCTGCCACACAGTCAATTACTTTTTAGGTGCATGAGTTATGCTCTTGGCTGAACACAGTATTTTACAGTGAGAAACAGGATACAGGCAAAGGCCGTAAAATTACAAATTAGAAACAGAGGAAAGAGACAGAATGACAAGTTTAAATACTTTTACCAAGTGGTTCAAGAATAGAGCCCCGAGGAAGCTCGCTGTGATTGGGTCGAATTCATAATAACAAAAACGAAATGAAGTAAAATACCAAATGGGATGAGGTTCTAAATGACCATTCTCATTATTAAACGAAGACCGAACAACACTGACTACGACTGTACCGTCACACTTCCAGGTTTTTTTTTTTTATGTCAATCTTGATCCCCTTCAACTTTGACGTCTGCTGGAGATAATCCCAAAATCAGCCTCTCATTGGCTGTCTGTTCTATTAGAACTCTTTTTTTTTTTTGGTTGATAATGGAATGGCGCCACCATATCTGAGCCTAAACTGTAGCCACATCTGCACGGACATCGAACCAGCTACTGCTCCGTGTCCTTGGATTTACACAAACATTGAAACCTTGGTGTTAACTGTTATAATTGACTAAACTAAAATGAAATCCAAAGAACTCTGAACTCCATGATAGGAACCGGTGAAAGATCCAACATTTCTTCTGTTTCACACTTACTTACATAATCAATACTACAACTGACCACCAGCTCCTGCCCTTGAAGTACTCTTTACTGTCAGATCTCATTATTTTCAAACCCGTTTTGGGTTCAGGGTGAGGAAAGTCCATACATGAGGTTTGGGGGACTTCAGCTCCCAGCATCACCTCCGTTCCATCCAGACCCCAAAGATTCTCAATCACCTCCTTCTCCTTCAGAGCCTTGTCGCTTATAATGAAGTCATTGACGCTGCCGTCACACAAATCTGTGTTGACTGCTAACCTTCCAGATGCAGCACACACACAAACACACACACACACACACACATATGCATAGCGCAAAGACATATATGACTGATAGTGGCTATGATGTGTCTGTCAGAGAGGGGCTGATAGCATCAGCGCCCCCTGCCTGCCTGAACAGGATAGCTCAGCGTACAGGGGAGGAGAAGGGGGCCAGAACAGGGGAGGAGGATTAGCAGAGAAGATGAGTTGCACCTGCAATGGTAATTTCCTCTCTCTGAAGTCAACATCCTCATGAGTTATGAAGCCGACGCCGGTGTGAGGCGACGGCAGGAGGAGAAATCAGGAGGGGCCGAGGAGGTGAACACAGGAGGCAGAAGGGAGGCACAGTCCTGAGAGACTGTGGAACAGGAAGGGCCCTTCTCCTCCTCCTCCTCCTCCTCCTCCTCCTCCTCCTCCTACCATCCCCCACTCTGTTTCCTCTTATACACTCCACCCTATAGTGACCTCCTCTTTGTGCCCCATTCCACCTCCATATCTGAAGACAGAGCTCAATGGCGCCCCTTGTCTGTGCCTCCCCCTCCACCCCCCAAACCCCCCAGCCGTCCCTTTCCAAACCAAAACTAAAAGCCTTTCTTCATTCTTTACCAAATTCATGAACTACAATCTGCTGCCTGTTTGACGACTGGGCCTGCTCTGTTATTATTAATGAATCAGCAGTGGAGCTCGCTGTGTTTTTCACACTGAAGCTGACATGTTAGAGTTCCATTCCCTGAAAATTAAAAACACAAACCTGACTGTCTTCTCTCCATGCCTGTGATATCAGCATCAGAATCTAAAGGATGAAAAAGTACTTGAGCAGTCTGTGGTTTCCACATTAGAGGTCTGGGTCGGATCCAAACAGGAGAGATTCCTTCTGTGGGTGGACAACTCCTTGAACTCTGGGAAGACTTCACTTTTTTTTTCAGTTTTCTGCACTTTAAAAGCCAGCAAGTACAAACAGAAACGATTCAGGAATGCTTGAGTCCTCGGGCAAGTCTACAGTAGCAGGACCACCGATCAGCGCCTCGGAAACACGTGTCCTCTCCGATGTGTTTGTGTGTATATGTGTGTGTGTGTCTGAGGATCAGATCAGTTTTGACTGAGCTGCTGTTTTCACAGGGTGATTTACCTGCAGGTGAGCATGAACAAGGGCCTCTCCTACATCACCAGCTCCGTGCACATCACTACTACGGAATGTGTGAGTACATCCTGCGATTGTTGTCCGCATCGTCACGACAACGTGCGATGAGGTTTCCCTCCTGGCATGCTGCCACGTCTGTTCTTTCAACCGCTGTCATTTTTGTTCTTCTTCTCGCTCCTCTAGTCTTCCTCTCTGTCCTTCCTCTCTGACGTCTCCTCTGTTGTCTCTGTCATCAGAGGAGGCTGTGAGTACTTCCACTTTTTTTTATTTCACCTTTCGATATCTTTTTGGACACATTTAAGCCTCTAATCCCGGTGCAGTAATGCTGTTCTTGTCCACAGTTTGATGGCACCATCGTGCTCATATCGTTGCTGGTGGTTTTCCTGCTGTTGGCGCTGCTGTTGATGTGGTGGTTCTGGCCGCTCTGCTGCACCGTGGTGAGTTTTTCACCACTAACCACAAACGTCATACAGTACAAGCAGTGGAGGAAGCAGATCATCACGAGTGGAGCCCCGAGAAGAGGCCAAACATGGGCCCACGATTTCCTCCAATTATAAAATATTTGTTGGCGTTGACAGAAGTGTCAGGTCTTCATCAATAGAACCTGACGTCAACTTTTCACCCTGACAGAAAGGATGTGAGTTAATCCTGCATGTAAACAGTCGTGCTGAGTGATCAGATCCAGCTTCCAACGGTCTGTGTTTCCATTTAATGCCATTTATATTTACCAAAAAACCTCACATCCTGTATTATTAAAGACGTAGACGTATGGATCAACAGGAAGCTGGAAAACTGAACTTTATCCAGACTACTTCCAGGATTTGTCTGTGCAATAATAACCTTCAACAGATCATAGATAAAATCCTAAATATTTTCAGCTTAAACGTTGTTCCTTCTTCACAGGTGATCAAAGAACCACCACCACCTCCACCTCCAGAGCCTGTGAGCAACACCTGACCTGATTATGGGCCATTTAAATCACATATCCATCTCTGTGAATATATATAATATATATATATAATATATATGTGGTGCATGGTTACAGGAGTCTGATGATGAGGATGGTATGCCGAAGAAAAAGTGGCCGACGGTGGATGCATCCTACTACGGTGGAAGAGGCGTGGGTGGCATCAAACGCATGGAGGTGCTCACACAAACACAACCTTCAACTTAAAAAAAAAAACCACCGGAATAAACGAACATTCAGAACTTTGGTTCCTCATGTCCTGGTTCTTAGGTGCGATGGGGGGAGAAAGGCTCCACTGAGGAGGGAGCTAAGTTGGACAAACCTAAAAATGCCGTGGTGAAGATGCCAGAGCAGGAATTCGAACCTTACGAGCCAAAACCACGAAAACCCTCCCGACCTCCCCCGGAGGAGAGGAGGTGGTACACACCCATTAAGGTTGGTCACTAAAAAAACAACAGACAAATGTTCCTCCTTTTTGAACACAAATCAGGGAAAATATTTAAGCATTGCTTTTTGTCATGCTCAAAATAATATTACAAATGCTGAGCAGCTTGATTTATTTTTTATGAATATTGCCTATTTTTCTAACCTTTATAAACTGGCAGAGAAGCCAATACCAGAAGAACTGCCGGGTGTGAGTGATGGAAAAAGAGTTGTTCCTCCAGATGAATTGTTCCAGCCCACATGTGGGCCACATAAGCTGTTCCACCTGTCCAACAAATACTGGGACTTTGGGCCAAATTCTCATCTGAACCTGAACGTGGCCGATTTTGGCCGATCGTACCTTTGGATACCACAAAATTATTAGTGTAGATAAAAGAAAATGCTTGGCTCATTACTGGGTCCCTGAACAAAGGACTGATTCATTCTAGTTTTTATTTGTTATTATTATATAAGAGGCTGGGCTTACAACTTCACGTCAGTGTTTGTTTCAACAAGTTGTTAATTTCTTTTCAGGGAAAACTAGACGCTCTGTGGGCCTTGTTCAGAAGAGGTTATGACCAGGTGTCTCTGATGAGACCCCAGCCCGGAGACCAGGTGAGCCCTCTGCTGGTTTATAATTCCTTATTTTTATTATTAATTGTTTTTATCTGTGTGAGTTTATTGGAAGAAAGAGTTTCAGAAAGTGAACTCGGTGTTTGCGGTGGCCGAGCATCTGCCTGCTTTTATCTGTCACGCTGTAAAGTGACAACACGTGTCAGTGAGCAGCGTGTACAGCCTTCAACACAGGAGCACAGTCCCCGCTGTGCACACATACACACACACACGTACACACACTCGGAGTCAAAGCTGCCATTGTTCACACACAAGATATACAGTATCCTCTGATACAAGCCTGAAAATGACTCAGTGTCCGTCCAGTTTCTGTTAGTCCCTCTCCACGCTCTTTCACCAAATTTCTTTTAATTATATTTAAAAGAAGTCTGTGTCAGAGAGGCCTTTGTTTCCTCGCTTGTCTTTGAAACGCTGCAGCTCTGTGACATTCTATACCACTGCTCTGCTGGAAGACCCTAAATCATGACGTGACATCACTGCCGATCCTGCGAAAGAGCAGCCTTGCCTCTTATCTAACCTTGACCCTGGATGTGGCATCCCATCACCCCACAGACATGGTTTCCATCATCACGCCGGTTGTCATGGTAAACATCTGGTCCGTTGTAAAAGGGCTTCATTGTCGTTCCCCGTCCCAGAGGTCAAATCACTTTAATATTTATCGATTTGTTCCTGTGGGGACGTGAATCATCCTCAGTTCCACGGTGTGTGTGTGACTACTGTATCTGCAGTCTATAAAAGTGGTCGCTGTCAGTCCTTCTTTTCCTTCTTCCCATCTTGGTGTGGGTTTTTTTCCTTCCAAGAGGAACAATTCAGCTCTGTGAACGCAGAGGTTTCTCAACTCCATCTGCGGGTTCACAAAGCCGCTGAACTCCGACCCCCACGACTCTCTTTACGCCTCATTAGCCGAGGAAAAAGAAGCTCTGAGCCTGAGTCTAACGTGAGAAGCATGAGGGCAGGATGAAGAGTTCAGTTATCAGGAATACGAGACTGCGTGAAGTTGAACAACAACACAAATCAAACGCATTTCAAATCCTCCAAAATGACACGACAGCACGGTCGTCACCTGGACTGTTCTCCCTCTTCCTGACACACTCCCCCTCATCCTACGAAGAGTTCACAGATGTGGAGTTAAAAGGCCACGAGCCACGACTTGACGGAGGAGATTCCCCTTCTTTTGTCTCCAGAGCTGTTGGTGCTAATGGCTCCATCACACGGAGCAGAGCAGAGGGCGGCCAACATCCTGTCACCCTCACCCACAGAAGGCACACATGAGCATCATCACCCCCCCCCCCCCCCCCCCCCCCGGGGCCCCCCTTTTTTTTTTAAAAATTCACTGCCAAGACTGCAAAACATTTTCTCTAAAAAACAGTTCCAGTTTCCCAGTGTAAACTATTATATATTTATATATCAATAACCAGTTTTCATTACAAAACTCACTTTTTATTTTTACAATTTTTTACAACTACTCAAATAATCATTTAATCTATGAATTAATCAATGCCTGAAAAATCAATCGCTGCAGCTCTACTGATGATCCTAACTGTTTCTGTCCAGATTCTGTCACCTAACTAGTTCCAAAATATTATAAATGCGGTTAAATGTAGTTAAAACCATTGGAACATATTAAACTGAATAAATAACTGCAGATCAAATTATCGTGGTTCACAGTTTCAAAAACGAAACGGGAATAAACACACAGAGTCAGTCAGCCAGTCAACATCTCATTCTACAAAAATGTTATTGGTCAACATGATTGTTTCCAAACTCACTGGACTCGGTTCAGACCAATTATCCTGGAGTCCAAATCATAAAAAACAAAACAACTCTGAAACTGAAAATCTTAACATAACTTTAGTAAAATGATTTCCCCATCAGACCTCTCCTCCTGTCCAGAGCCGTTTTACCTCATGACAAATCTGACTGTGTAGATACAGGTCATGTGATGTGATGGGCGGAGCTGCCTCTCTGTTTTTCTCCCCTTTTTTTCCTTTGCTGTAAATATAAACACCAGTTTCACCTAATCGACCAAATCTTTCTGCTCTCTGAGTGTTTTTGAAGGAAACAAAGACTGGGCAGAAAATTGTTGAAAGAAGAAAATTATTTCTCTCCTATAGCCAAAGTGATGCACCAAAAAAACAAACCAAATCACAGACATTTGCCCCTGCAGAGCTTGTTAATGTTGATGTAAAGAACAGGAAGAGGTTCTTCTCTGTCTCCTGTCTCAGCACCAGCTCCGTCCAACCTTCCTGTCCTTCTGTGTCTGTTATTCATGAGGCTGCGGCTTCATTCAGGCCATATGTTCTGGTGGAGGCATGCTCACAGTCACACTCACACCCATATTCATGAGCTCGTGTTCTCATTGTGTCCATATGCTCTCTGTGGTGTTTCAGCTCGCAACCTGCAACTAGACTAAAGCGGCCGCCGTCACCGCTGCCCCCCCCCCCCCCCCCACACACACACACACACACATACACGCCACCACCACCGCCTCGCCCCAATCAATTACGCACCCTTCATGCAATCACACAAAGGCCCCCTCAGTCACAAAGCCACTGCCACTGGGGTCCTCCTAATGGCCCCTGTGTGACTTTAGGGCCTCTCTGCTTAATAAGGTGTTATAATCAGACCACCAAGGATCTGTGACACAGGGACCTAGTCTCCATCCTTCACTCTGAGACTCAGCAAGAGTGTGTGTGTGTGTGTGTGTGTGTGTAAGGATCTCATACAGGGAACAGAGGATGCCGAGAGGAGAGAACCATCAATGAGAACAATAAGAGAAGCGTTCCATTCTCTCCAACTTGTAAATTATGTTAAATGCTGAGGGGCCTCTGTTAACTATTGTGTTCATATTGAAATCAGGCCTTTACATTCCTACAAGTCAGGCACATGAAAGACATAAACCACTTTCTGTTCAGCCTGGAGAGAGAGGCAGAGACTCTGGAAGAGGGGAAATAAGGGGAAAGCTTCAGAATGCAGCAGCGTGCATGTGTGTGAGTCTTGTTTTTTTTTTT